GGGGGTTCAATACTTACTGAGATTGACGGCAGACTCGCGAATCGCGTGCTTTATGCAAAATGGCGTCTCGTTATTTCTTGACTCGCTCGCACTCTCCGTCAATTTTTCACTTTCTCTCTCTTTCCTCGTTTCTTCGCTCTCTTCTTTATTCATAACTTTATACTTTCTCCTCCAGCGACATCTTTCACGCGATTTATCATTATCTCGCGAAATAATACGCAATCTCGGCTTTTTACGGTATATACGTATATACGGGCATAGCGAAAATCGTCATTATAGAGTAGGTGATTTGGATGGTTTTTTTTTTTTTTTTTTTCAAACGTTTCTACCGCTCTGTACACGTATGCCAGGTGTGACGCGTTGCGCGAACTGAATTACGTGATAACCCGTGACACAACGTAATATTATGGTTTTTTTTTTTTTTTTTTTTCAAACGTTTCTACCGCTCTGTACACGTATGCCAGGTGTGACGCGTTGCGCGAACTGAATTACGTGATAACCCGTGACACAACGTAATTTTTGTTTTCATCCAAACACTACATAGGCGCAGAAAGTAAGTATCGATAGTAACGCGAGGATCGACGTAGCGTAGATGCTTTCTTTTCTCTTTCTCCCGATCAATAATCCTACGATAATAACAATAATGACAATTGCGCAATGACCGTGTAATTATAATAATAAAAATAAATACCTAAAAGTCTCATTAATTATATTATAAGTAGAACATCGTTTTATTGATCATCGCCGTTATTAATTAGCATATAGTTTAATCGTTATTTATTTCTTTATCGTATTATGCTCCTTCTTTTTTTTTTTCTTTCTTGTTGCTGTCATATCATTTATATAATTATTTATTCACGTGGAGTATTGCGTGTGACAATTATTATGAAGTTTCGTACTGTCTGGAGATTAAAAAGTTCTTCTTCTTCTTCTTCTTCTTCTTCTTCTTCTTCTTCTTCTTCTTCTTCTTCTTCTTCTTCTTCTTCTTCTTCTTCTTCTTCTTCTTCTTCTTCTTCTTCTTCTTCTTCTTCTTCTTCTTCTTCTTCTTCTTCTTCTTCTTCTTCTTCTTCTTCTTCTTCTTCTTCTTCTTCTTCTTCTTCTTGCTGCTCCCTTTTCGTTTTACATATCTCTTTTTCTTCTCGTCAGGAGCAACCACGTGCCTTCTCCTTTCTTCTCGCATTCTCTCTATTCTATACAGTTGAATTCCTTTGCTCTATACAATTCGTTATTTATTTATATTTACAGATGGAGTTACCACACCGAGCTAGCCGCTACGCGCACGAACGTACAGTCTACATACGCTTTCGACATTGTGTTGTGAAAAATCGAAAAAGTATGACGAAAAAAAAAAAAAAAAAAAAAAAAAAAAAAAAAAAAAAAAAAAAAATACGGAAACAGAAATTACAAAGAAATAATAAAAAATTCAATATTGCGTACGCGGTACGCAGTACACTATACACAGTTGGTAATACATATGGGAAAAATCGGCCATTGACAAAATCGCTCGAGACCGATCGCTCTTTCCTGTAATTCAAAAAAAAAAGGAGGGGGGAAATATCGACGGCGATTAATCGGCTTTTTCGTTTTGCCAAACCAACAGCCATTAACGAGCGTGAAACGAGAAACGAAACTACCTCGAAAAAAAAAAATATATATATATATATTGTCCTACGTTGTTACGTATAACGTGTTTCGTGACGCGTTCGAAAAAGCATCAACTTTATTCTCGCTAACGAGAAAATTTTTCTTGCGAACGACGTCGATATTATTCTATTACATTTCCTTTGTCCCTGTTTCAAGAGTAAATCGTTAAATGCAGCGTAGAGTGACGATCTACATGTTACACGGTCTATGCATCATTCTAATTTTACTATACTGAATTTCGATATTATTATTGACAGATTCTCGAGTTGACGAAAACTAAAGCACGCGGTATAGGATTTTTGTGAAAAACTAACGTTTGACCGTACATATTGAAAATTCGTTTAACACGACGAGAAACTGTCCAGAGTTCTTATACGCGTGTTCTCGATATAAATTATTTTTGTCGACGACGACGTATCAGAGCCATGAAAATGGAGGCTGCGAACAAAAGGCGTAAAAATGGTATCGCACGATGTAATGTTCACTGAATGGTCGAATGAGAATTATGCGAAATGGAACGAGAGACGTACACGAGAAACACGAAGATGCCAAAGTTTTACAAGAAATATAAGAACGGACGAGGATATGGGTTGTGAGAAAAAATTAATTTGAGGATACATAAAAAAAAAAAAAAGAAAAAACGAAGTAGGGATTAGAAGGAGCGCGCGCGCGTCTCGTGCGAATACTGTTTTTGCCCATTCAGACTACTTTTAGTCATTGCTCATTTCCGCAATTCGCTTATGCGATTTTCCCTCTCGCTCTTTCATCTCCCGCGCTCTACAATGCTCAGCGCAACGTAAGTACCAGAATGATAATCAAAATGATGACTGACACCGTCAGGCAGATTATGATCAGGATCATTTTCTGTGAACAAAACACAACGTCAGTGTCAGTGGTCGATAAATTTTTGCAAAATAATTAAATTTTTTTTTTTTCAAATCCCAACACGCGTTCCGCCTTCAAGATTATCAGTCAATTTTTGTTGTTCTTCCCTTAAACTCCCAATCAGTTTCACAGATCGACTCGATTTAATTGACGATACGAAAGAAAAATAAACGCGTTTGAATTTTCCCGCGTGATTTTTTCTTGAAACGCGGAACGTCGGTGCTGACGATAGGAACGATACAAAATTGTACGATAAACAATATTGAAACGAGAAACAAATGGCAAAAAAGAAAAAGACAAAACATAATACGCTACGTGTAAAAGCGTTGTGTACTCGAACGTTAGCGTTTGCGTAGGCCGTGCGATGTTCTCCCCTCCCCATTTATTATTAATTTATTATTATTATTACTCAGAGATCAAGAAACTAGAAACAAGATCCCCGAGTAAAACTTTGATCCGTCTTGAATTTAATCGACGGCTAATAAGCACCTAACACCCAAAAAATAATAGGCACAGTGCGGCTCGAACGTTTCTTCGCGAAATCGTGACCCCCCTCTTATTGTTCCTTTAAACGTAACGATACACTCTGTCGCTCGGAATCCCGTCAATTCATTAATTACACGTCTCGGCGGCGATTCGACGTAGAAACGCGAACGAGCCGCCGCGCGGAAGGATGGTGACATTTTTTTAATTTTTTTTTACTTTTTACGTTTTTTTTTGTTTTTTTTTTTTTCTTTCTTTTTCCCCTCCACACCGATCATGAGAATTTCAACGCGTACAGCGATAACGACGCGACGCCGCCGCAATTTTTAGTCATCGTATGCGAGAGCTTTGCCAAATCGTCAGCCAGAGAGTAATAGCCGTTAAGTATTTCTTGTTAGTCTTCGCTTAAGCATTAATCCAAATTTTTGTTAATAAAAGCGTAAAAGGGATCGTGACTGTTTTGTAATAAATGTTCTATACGTGTGTGTGTATATATTTTCAGTAATTTTTCCATTTTTCATTTGCCAATATTTCACTTTTTTATCCTTCCTTCTCCTTCCCCTGTCACATTGTCAACGAACGGGGTTGCCTTTTCTTTTCATCCCCGTCTCTCTCTCTCTCTCTCTCTCTCTCTCTCTCTTTTTTCTATCTCTTCTTCATTTCATCCTTAATTCCTTTGGTATTAACGCGTTGAGTGACCGGCGTGAATTGCAACCCCCCCCCCC